AAAGAAGAAAAAGAAGCCATTGGACCCTTAGTCTACGAAAATGTAGTTACAAGTTTCAACTATCTAGCATCGGCAACTTAACAAGTTGAATTCAGAACTTTTAGGGGGGACAAAATACTATATGCAAAAACTATTTACATTGTGATAATTTGTGTTCGGATAAAAAATTCAATGAATCATGAAACTCATTAACCGGTCTAGTCATATTATCGGATAGTCGAAATTTGGTATCAAAATCTAACTTTCAATTTTTTTCACAGAACCAACATTAGTTGTAATAACAATGAAGAGAGTGAACAAGTTTATATGATTAGGACACAAAGTCAAATTTGGGGACGAATTAATTGAAGAAAAATTAAGGGGTATAATGGTAAAAGTGAGAGAGGGAGTAACATGGAGGAGCAGTTACATATCTATCTCCATTGCAAGTGAATGGGACCAACCAACCAACAAGGGACCGATAAGAGCAATCTCGGCTTGGATTCATGCCACTTTTCCTCTTATCTATTAGCAAGGTCATCAATGAGAGCCGTTCGATATAGAGCAGGAGCCACGTGTTTAGATCTCGGAGATGAATATAGATGATGCCATGTTAAGTGGTGGAAATTGATTGGAGAAATTGAGAGAGTGACAAAAGTGTAGAGGCAGTTTTCTTGCATGTGCACTCACATGGGGGACATATGTATCCAATGCTTTCAACAAACTTAACGATTTTTCATTTTTCTCACTTTGCATGTTTTGGATGTTATTGTTGTTGTATCTATAACTGTTGTTACGAAAGTTTAGTAGTGCTATGTAGAATTAGATGTTATCGGTTCTATAATCTACAGATCCACTTGATGTCTCTCCTACATTAAATTTCACCTTCCTCTCCACCGTTCACTTACAATTGATTGTCCCTTTTACAATTGAGGTTTCACTCTCTTCCACATAAATTAAAAAAAAATTAGCACACCGAGATAACCAAAACATGTAATTTAATTAGTAGTTTTTGATAGTGTCATCATTGTGTTACTACTCGAATTCATATCCGTTTAACATATGTTGTTGCTTTTTTGGGTCAACATATAACCTTGTATTAACCAAATAGTATATGGCCAACCAAACCGGATCACAAATTATACGAAAAAATCTAGAAAACGAGATAAAGAACTACAAGCAATCAATCCGCCTTACCATTAAGATTTTGTGAAATGTGCGAAATAGAAAAGATCTAAAACGAGCTCTCAAACTTAAAAACACTACTGGTAGCATGCATGGAATATGCAGACCAAAACTCGGTTTATGTCATCATTTTCAATAACTCTAAACAATCTCCCAAAAAATGGCAAATGCTTCATTCCTCACCACGCATTTCATCACCCATAACAATTTTTCTATCTCTGCATGCATAGAAGTTAAGCTACGACGATGTTCCTTTGCCCCATTAATGTGAGTACTCTGTTGTTGAAAAAAATATTACATTCATTTCGTTCATTGAGTATCATACGTTTAGCGAGA